GATCACATGGATGAATGTGTGTGCCGTTTACCTGGGGAAGTGGCACCAAGAATCACTGTGGGACAATGACATGTCGGTGGACGGAGTGTGATGCTATGGGCAATGTTCTGCTGGGGAACCCTGGGTCCGGCCATTCATGTGGATGTAAATTTGACACTTCATGACAATGGGGTTCCCTGGTGGAAGTGGTCTCTTTCTGCAAGATATTACACCCTGCCACACATTGTTCAGAAATGATTTGAGAAACATGATGAAGAGTAGGTGTTCCCCTGGCCTCCAAATTCCCCGGATCGCAAACCAATTGAGCATCTTTAGGATGTGCTGGACCAACAAGTATGATCAACAGTGGCTCCACCTCGCAACCTACAGGACTTGAAAGATCGGCTGCCAACGTCTTGGTGTCAGATAATGCAAAACGGTTTTGGCAGCAAGCAGAGGACCAACATAAATATAAACAATATGTATTTAAATATACAGTATACACTCAAAATCATTCAAAAGTTTGTTGTCAATAAGATTGTTTTTAAAGAAATTGACTTATATTCTGCAAGGATATAAAAAATGACAGTAAACATATTTGTAATGATACAAAACATGGCAGCCTTGATAAGCATAATTCTCTTGTTTCAAAAACATTAAAAAAGGTCTTACTGACCCCACGATTTTGAACAGTTGTGTGTATATTCAGCCCGTTCTCATCCTTTGGCGTCATACATGTGACGCTTTGGACATTTCGTTGAAATCTTACGCACATGGCATCCTTTAGCATCAATATGAGACGCAGAACCCAAGGCGTCATACAGGTGACGCTCGTCTAAATCCAACACACATGGCATCGTTTAGCGTAAATATGAGACGCAGATCCCAAGGCGTCATAACCGTACCCTACCCCAGACCTACACCTACCCATAACAGTGCGTGTTATATTGACGCTAAAGGATGCCATGTGCGCAAGATTTCGACGAAATGTCATATGGCGTCACCTATATGACGCCAAAGGATGAGAATGTGTATGTTCTCATGTCCTCATATAGGCTACAGTACATACATATTATAAGTACAAAAGTTTGGAAACACCAACATATATATTTCTCACTTCCCAAATATACTGTAGATAAGTCCACTTCCACATTTGTTTTATGAACTTATCCTTTGAACTTGGCAGCTCACTAAGTCCTACACTGAACTTCCCTGTGACTCTTGTGTGGTGCCTACAGAGCACAGCCATCTGGGACAGGTTAAACGAGGGCCGTGCCGCTCCACAGAGATCTGCTTCTACAGGGCCCCATATACTGACCCTAGGGCTCAGTCTACTGAAAGAAAGCCATGCCCTGTCTGCCATGGAGCGGGGGACGGGTCTTAGGTCCCTCCCGCCCCTCTGGAGAGCAAGCATTGTGCACTTGCCTCTTCCCACACTCCTGCTCACCTCTGGTGGGTGGAGCCTGGACCCCCGTCAATCAGCCAGCATGCGGTCCCTGACGCACCGCAAGCCAGCACAAAAGAGCTTTTTTGTTTCTGTTTGGTTTTGTGCAGCTCTACAAAAGTGTCTGGTGCGGAGAAAGAGAAAAGGGTGCTTGCATGTCTGCTGCAGGTTTCTGGAAGTTGCTACTTGAAGGTTTTTCTTATATGGTAAAGTTGCACTAAGGCTAAACTACTTCTAGTAAAATACACAGAGCGTCTTTTCGCGTACAGACGACAACGTTGTCAAAACGATCCCCATTCACACAGATCCTCGAAAACGACTAAAAACGCTGTATTATGCCAGGCCAGTTGTTGGTGATGTCACTTTGTAAAGAAACACCATGTTTCTATAGACTGAACACAAATTCACATTTTTGTAGCTCACACGGAGATGATGACGGTGTCGTTTTCAAAATCTTGCACTTTGAAACCGATTTTCAAAAGTTTGTGTTTTCAGGCCCCCAAAATGCTGCCGTCGTATAAACGAACGTCCAAAACGCATAAAAAGGTTTCAGTTATTTCAGTACACAGTGTCTTGTGAACGCCCCCTGAATGAATCACTCTGAAAGGCCAAGCACAGTGAGAGTTCAGTAAAAGCAAGCAATGTAAGGCCACATGCATGTCTGAGCTGAGTAAAGTTCAGCGCTCTGTGTTTATTTAACTCATTGGCACTACCTGAAGGATTGTGGATGTTGTATAGTTATATGAATGAGTGACTTATTCTCTGTTACACTGTGAGAGTCTGAATGAAAAAAAAGAAACAGGAAATGAAAGTGATCTAATGATAAAGAATCTTCACTTCTGTGGTTTCAAATAGTATTCTGAAACGGAGCCAATGTTGAAAGTCAATGTTGTTGTGTGGATTTCCATGTATTTTATTATTTAAAAAAATTATTTCCTCATTCCTCATGCTGTATACTTGTTATATAAAGTATTAAAATAAATGCATATATATATATATAAATTATATATAGTATTATATTTAAATCTAAATATACAGTATGTATATAAAAACCCTCTTTAACTGCACAATTAAATCACTGTTTAACACTGTTAAAACTGTTTAAATTAAAAAAAATATATTTTTTACCACAACTATCTCACTAACATTAAAAACTTCAGTGCATTGAACTCATAGTCCAAATATGGTTGCCTATACAGAAGGATAACGGCTTTTTCTAAGAATGCATTCATCACATTTAGGCAACTGAAAACCATAGGTATTTTTCTCCAAATTAAATGCTCTTCCCATATGCACCAACAGCGGGGTTCTGGAGATCCGGAGGGGCCCCTGCTCAAAGTTCAAGAGCTCCACCGTGAACCCCCCTTCCTATGCCTCCTCCACCATGGTTACACATCCATGATAGACAAATATGAAAGCATGTGGCTCTCGGCTGCAGCTGACATGATCATTCGTGCTCTGTCTGGCCTCTGGAGCTTGCCAGCAAGCCTCATTAGACTCGAGCTATCTGCACAAACCAATGGGAGGGCTTAGGTTGAAGGTTGATATGTATTTGTCAGCCCTGTAACACCTGTCAAAGTCCCTCCCACTTCATTAATAAGAGCGGGCATTGGAGATCTCGGATGGGTACATATTCTCACTCCTCTGCTAAATAATGAAACGGGTTTATGTTGGGGATGTGGTGCATTGTGAGACATTGTGGAAGACACGTCGTGACCGCATCTTCTCCAAACAGGAAGGTTCATTTGACAGGTCACTGATGCATGCAGGGGGGTAGTTTTATAAATTCAGCAGGCCCTTAGTTATTTTAGAGTGAGGACATACAACATTTAAAGAGACAGTTCAGTCAAAAAGAACAATTATGTCATCATTTATCCATCTTTATGTTGTTTTGGAGCTTACAAGCTTAAAAATGATGCAAAACCATTGCATAAAAACAATTTGTTTCGAACTTATTGACTCGTATGGTGGTTTTCAAATACACAGAAAAGGAAATTATGAGTGAATTATGAGTTTCTCACTGGACACTACTGTATGGCATCAAAAGACTTGATGTCTATATGAGCATATTTATAAGACTTTCATAGTTTCAATGCTTGAAAGCTTCGGTCCCTATTCATTGTAATCACATAGAACCAAATGACCAGTTTAATATTTGTTTTGTGTGTGTGTGTGTGTGTGTGTGTGTTCTACAGAAGAAAGAGAGTACTAATTGTTTGAAATGACATGAGGGTGAATAAATGTACTATTCCTTTAAGTTACATGCAAAAGAAAAAGAAAAAGCATGCAAGGGAGGTTTATTTTTGTGGAAAGCACACAAATGCATTACACTGTAGCATCTTATATTGGTTGCTGCATGCACATGTTCTCTCCAGACTGTCCTGCCTGTCACAATAATGTGATAGACAGCAAGAGAAAGATAGAGAAATGCAGATAAAAAGACAGTGGCACTAAGAAACCTCACTGCATTTATTTTTTTAGCTCTAGTGTGTACAGGCTTGTCTGAGCCATCATAAACACCCCCGGCACTCCTCCACACACCCCGGGCAGTGTGCCTGATTGTCTGTCAGCCATTGTTGGAGAGGGTTTGCACAGTAGAGACATCTCATTTACGCTCCCTGCCATCACATTCAGCCGCATGAAATGTGATGTCATGTTTTGGATAGGTGATGGAGCTTATGAGGGCTCCTGCGTGGGAGGAACCAGCTGGCAGAGGGAGGAAAATGGTGGCCTTTTTCCAAGAGCAGTTAGACTATTGATTTGACCTTCATCTTTAAATACCAAACATTGAGGTTTTGATCTAATGGTCTCTGTTGTGTTGGTTTAGTTTGCGTCCCCGCCTGTGATATGACTTGCGTGGTCATGTGAACATCAGGGCAGTAAAGTGACTTTGACCCAACCAAACTCCCTGATCTAGATGTCCATTAGTAATTGCCACTGACAATGGGTGGCCATAACCGGTAGGTATCTATCTATGGCTGCATTCACACTGCAGGTCTTGTTGCCCAATTCCGATTTATTGACTACATTTTTTTGACGACCAGCTTACATCTTCTTTTAAAAGTGAAACAACCCAAGTTACTGTAGATGTACCCGGAAAAGCTTAGGCCGGAATTTAGATGAAATGATACAACAAACTTTCAAGGTCAGAAAAACTACTATCCCTATACTACTAAAATCTATCGATCCATACTATACTTCTAATCTATCTATCTATCTATCTATCTATCTATCTATCTATCTATCTATCTATCTATCTATCTATCTATCTATCTATCTATCTATCTATCTATCTATCTATCTATCTATCTATCTATCTATCTATCTATCTATCTATCTATCTATCTATACAGCAACTATCACTTTTTACACAATTAAGACCAAAAATGACCTCCTTTCTAATACACACACACATACACGCACGCAAACGAACACACACACACACACACGCGCGCGCGCACGCCTACTTTTGACGCCACGGACACACACGCGTGACGCCTCCTTCATCCAGCTCTCTGTGGTCAGAGAGAGCATCTCACGCCAGAGTCGGATCCTCCTTCAAGCAGGCGCACTGTTTTCCCGGCTTAGCTCAGCTCAGTTCAGTTCACCAGCGCAGCCACAGGCTCACCAGCCCAAGTTTACGCACAGGGATGCGGGCGCGTGGAGCCGCCTGAAAATGGCTCACTTTAGGATTTACTCTTTCCTTGCTTCTTTTCACATTTTAGTGTTGTGTCAAGCCTTGAGGAATTATCCGGATAATGAAGGTAAGCCATACAGTCGCTGTCATATTCGTGCGCTTTGGATGTTCATGGATTCCGTTGGACTTTGAATCACAAATGAATCAAGGCAAATGCATGGCTACAATTGTTTTTCTCCCCGGGGCAATCGCATTAAAATTGAATGTTTAAAGACAGAATATGCCTTAGAGTGAGAAAACATATCGAGCCTATAAATTAATGATGATCACTTCTATCTGCTTAAGAGCAACACACATGTTATCGTAGCAACATTTGACGAGTGATCCGTAAATTTGACTTTTAAGTTGAGTTGAAAGGAATGAAAACAAGGATGTATTTTTGACCAAAATATGATCAAATGCTGCCCCAAAAGCTTATTTTGAGGACTTTGTTTTTGGTAGTTTGTTTTAAAAAATCATCCTAAACGGTTGTCAGAGTATAGAAACACACAAATAACGTTGAATAAAATTCAAAGAAACTGTCGGTTCTTTAAGACAATTTAGGCTAAATCAAACTGTATGTGTTGTGGATTGATGTGCATTTAGCATTGCCAGGGATGGTTTGAACAGACAATGTCGAGAGCAATGACAAATGGACGTGAGACACTTCTTTGCTTAATTAAACAATTAATTAGGAGAGATCAGAGAGTGGCTCCCACCACAGACACTTTATTATTCTAACCTCTCCAGACCAATACATCAAATTTGACCCTTGAGAGTGATCTCACTTTGCAACTGCCATCAGCCAAAGTTACTCAGCAAGAAATAGTTTATTTCTTTCTCCTTTCAAGTGATCCATTTGTGATTTAAAATGCTGTGTAGCATATTAAATGACAGATATCAGGCGTTTTTTATGTTCAAGGATGCAGCAGGATGTCAGTTTACAACACAGTCCGACTTATTTCACTCCGAGCCTTCAAAAATCAGACAATAAATTAACCTCACTGGATTAAAACGGGTTTACTCTTCATTGTTATGAGATTAGGATTAAGCCACCCATTGTGCTGTTGTCAGGAGGAAGGTTCAATGGTGGGTTTAATACACATTTAGGCGGAATCTATCAGATAGGATTTTGTGCAGAGCATTTAGACATGATGTCTTTGGCTGACTGACTTTTGGGAAATTAAAATGTGACAGTGGGAGTCAAATCTAAATAAGGTTGTGCGAGGTTTTCTTTTGTTGCTACATTAGTTTGTTCATTAGCACATCTCAATAATTTAAGGTTTAAATAAATCTTTCAGCTTCACATCATTTGTGGTGGTGTAAATTGCAGTAATGTTATAGAGGTGTGCACTTCCTCTAACCGCCAGCTGGTGGTAACCCTGAGGTGATTTTACAACAGGGTTCTGTGAATGTTTGTGTTGCGACCTGCCTGTGAGCAGATCTACATCTGTGTTTGAGTGTTGATGAACTGTTCATTAACTTCTTGTTCTGCAGTTTTTGTGTCTTGTAAGCATTTTCTACATTAAGGATGGTAGACATGTCCCATATCAACATATGCTTGATATCTGTCTTCTGGCCAAACTAAAACACATCAGCACATATTAAATGTTAATGACTACATGTTTTTTTTAATTCAGGGTCCAAATGACTGACTTCCTCAGCAGATTTTCAGTTTTTGGAAGACATTACTGCAGCGCTTGGATATTTACACCCCTCTGGAGATAATAAAGACCAAGATGTTGCAGAAACATTTTTAAAATCACTAAAAAAAAGGTCCATTCACACAAGCTAAATCTTAGTTGCACCACATGTAGTAGTCCTCCTAAAACTGTTTATCGATAACTGTGTTTCTTAACTGGCTGGTCGTAGACCAAAAATGGGCCGCAGTTCTGTTCTGAAACAGAAACAACTGTACAAAAATACAAACATTTACTAATTATATTCTATAATATAATAAACTAATTCTATATGAGCATTGTTTGGATAGAAAAATAAATAAATTGGCTCTTGGAAGATGCTAGCCAAATTAGGCAGATGCTTAACATCTGAATTATTGGCAAGAGGACGATCCACCAAAATACAGATATTTGGAAACCAAACATTTTTATAATTTAGCATATTGTTGGGCATAAGCAATTTATGGTAATATTAATACATTTACTTCTGTATGGCAAACGGTTTTGGTGCAGTGTTGATGTATAATTGTAAAATCTGGATGCTGGATCCAAATGAGTTGAGAACCATTGATCTAGGGTTGTTTAACTATTGTAAATTTATAGCACAGGAAGGAACCAGTGATAACCTTTTACACTGTATAAGGATCTTTTTATTTTTAATAAGTGCCTTCTGCTGCCCTCTTGTTTTTCTAGTTAGCGCTAAGGTCCCCCTCATTAGCTCGTCCTTTGTGCATGTTCTTACAGCATTTAGTGACGGTTTCTCGTCTGCTTTTGTTTCGCTCCCTGGCGCTCCGGCAGGGAAATTAGCATGAGAAAACACACTTTTTATGTTCAATTCAGTTGTGCTCAGAGGCTCTGTTTTGCTCTCGTTCTTTCACTCTCCCTCTCACCATCTCTTAGCTACTGACTTAGAGAGAAGCTTGAATTTGCATCTCTCTTGTTTGAGTGTTGTCTGAGGAAGTCTGTTGATTAGTATAACCTGTGGCCTTCTTTTTGTTTTCCAAGGATATTGGTTATTTTTCCCCTCTAGTTGGTAAAAAGAAGGGTTTATACATGGATACTTCAAGTGGTCGACTGGTAGGCCTTTACTTTACTTAAGATCTTAATTAGTTGCAACAGTACTGTCATTCTGTATCTGCCATGCTGTTTAAATTATTGGAAATCTCTGTTTAAGATATTGGGTTGGAAACTTAGAGTTAGCATTTAAAAAACAAATTTTGCATGGTCATATGACTTTTTAATGGTCCGATCTGATGTCTAAAAGCTCTTTTTGCTAATATAAATCTCAGAGACAAACTGTATTGATTCCAACCCAGGCTCATTGGAAATATGTGCATGTGGCAAAATTTCTGCAAAAAGATATTGCGTTGTTTCTTGCACGTTTCACGTCACTTTCAAAGAGAAATGTCCAGTGAGGGGTGCTAAAAGTGTGTTCAGTTTTATCTGAAAGATATGAACGTGTATCTAGCAACATTTTATCACATTGGTTGTTGTATGTATTAAAGGAACACTCCGACTTTTTGGGACTTTAGCCTATTCACCTTATCCCCCAGAGTTAGATAAGTCCTCCATACATACCTTTTTCATCTCCGTGCGTGCTATAAGTCTGTTTGACGCACCCACCACTAGCCTAGCTTAGCACAAAGACTGGATGTAAATGGTTGCAGCTAAAGTAGCAGTGCTTCGCCTTCAGAGAATATAGTTCCCAGTATTTATACGGTTAAAATATGTCTGTGTCTCATGTGACTTTGTTTTTTGTACACTCTGTGACTATACAAATCACAACATGTAAATAGGAAAATGTTTGCGTTATTTTGTCACTTATTTGGATTAGTATGCTAGCTGCAACCATTTACATCCAGGCTTTGTGCTAAGCTAGGCTAGCGGTGGGTGCGTCAAACAGACTTATAGCACGCACGGAGATGAAAAGGGTATGTATGGACTTATCTATCTCTGGGGGATAGGGAGAATAGGCTAAAGTCCCAAAAAGTCGGAGTGTTCCTTTAAGTAGTGCTAAAAGGTTAATGCTCTCTGTATTTAAAAATGACGTACCACCTACACTAAACTACCCTAAACCTAACCGATAGCTTTAACAAAAGCAAACGTGAGATAAAATGCATTTGCTGAAGCAACTATGCCATTTTAGCTTGCTTTTACAAGTCTTCAAGCTTGTTTTTATCGTGACTTGTTTCACAGGATTCGTACCCCAGCACTGTACCAGGTGAGGTACTGAACAAGTTTACTACATCAGAAAAGCCATAAAATTTGAGCTGGCTATGTGATGCAAACATAAAATGTATTAGTTTACAAATCATGTTGCTAATAGTGTTTTGTATTTATTAATCGATAATCTGCCCATGCAATTCTAATTTGCTTGAAAAGAAATGAAAGTTGTTTCTATTTTACTCCTCAAGTCTTCATTTCAGATGGAACTGCAGTGAATTATATGTATAGGTATGATTTTGCAGGTTTGTAAAAATGAGCCTAGATTGATTCAGTTGAATCAGTCAATTCAAATTCCCATAGCTTTTTTATGTGCAACTATGAGTCAAAACCATTAACATGAGAGCTATTACTATTTCTGTTTCCTGCTGTTCTGAATGGCACACCTTAGACCTTATCACCACCGGCTGCATCGGAACTCCTGCAGACCAGGCGGCTCATGCGATAGACTGAGTCTCGAGACCTGTGGCATTTCAGGATGGAGGCACATGAATGCTTTGAATGGAGAGCTGGGTGTTTTCTGTTGGGTAACATGCCATGTGAATCTCCTCAATGACACAATTCATTATTGCCCTATTTACCTCGACTTGAGCGTATCAGTGTCATTGCCTCTCATATTGCATCTGTGTTTTATCGCAGAGCTGGTGAAATGTAATCCTTATTTAGTCTTCCTTGTCTTGTCGAAGCTGTAGTTCTATAGAGAAATCTGTCATTATTTATTCACCCTTATATCTTTTAACCCTTATTTTGTCACTGAAAGTTAAAGGAGTCCAAAACAACATTAGAGCTCATTGACCTTCAATGTATGGACAAACAAACATTGAGACATTTATCAAAATCTCTAGAATATAATTGTTCCATTTCAATCTAATATAAAACTTTCCCTTGTCAATCAGAGGCAGAACATCAACTTACACCCCACATTTCCTTCAGGGGTCAAAGGTCATTGTTTTTTATCATCCGCCTTTTTGCATGAGGACTTTGCGTGTTTTGGATTTAGGACGTTGTGGTAAAGTAATGAGACTTGATTAAAACAGATCCCTTGTGTGTTCATATGCACAAGACCCTTTTAGCCGACAACAGCTTTGATCTGTCCTTACTGTGCGGCCCGGCCCACTCCTTCACTTTCATTAACATGCTCTCCACTCTCTGTTCACAGGACTCGGCCTTAATGTTTTTTAATGTC